AATTCAATTGACTTGAGATTTGGAAATGATTTCACAGCAACCAGAAAGGACGACGCTCCATAATAACACACACACACACACACCAACACTCACACTTAAACACACACACCAACACCCACACTCACAGCAGGGAAGCCCCATTAAGAGCTTTTGCAGTTTTTACTCGGACTTTTACTTTGTGGTTGTCGCTTGAAAAGCAACAGCAGAAAGCAAATCTAATTACAAAGGAGTCGTTTCGAAATTCTTTGGTCGCAGAAAAGTCAGAAGTGAAAATGTGATAATTGAAACGGGGCTTCCAACTGCCAGACAGCGAGTAGGAAAACAATAAATTATGCACACAGCACATAAAAGACACAACCTGCCGGGGCAACCTGTGAACACAAACCCGAAACACAACCTCGAGCCCACACCCTCCCCCCTCGCGACAACTGGCCACAAATCCAAAAAAGGAGGGGGGTGGGGAGCGGGAGAAGGAAAAGCAAGTAACACTAATTGCCTGGCGGCTCCTTCAACAAAAGCATCCTGCCACAAACAGTGGCAACAGCAGTTTGTTTTTGTTTTCCCAGCGACGTCGTTCAGCGACCAAAAGCCTTGAAGCCTTACGACACACGAGCACAAAGCACATCCCTCCCCTTCCTTCCAAACTTCCCTCCTCCCCGCATACAATAAAAATGAAGAAACATTTACAACACGTTCTGGCAATCTCATAAATAATACCGAAATTTCATTAAGACAAATTAATGTCTATCAATATGTTGCCAATGAAACGTTGCTAAGCTGGTCACGAAGGATTCGCAGCACTCGCTATTCTCTACTTGTCACTCGTTGCTTGCCACTCGTTGCGTCTACTCGTTATACTATATGTGATATACTAATTTAATACTTTCTCAACAGCAATCGAACTCCCTTCAAACAACTTTCTTGAGATCGCCTCACTATTGTCGAATCTAAATTGAATAACACAAGTTTGATTTTAGTTCTCCAAGGAAGACGTCAAAATTATATTGATGGCCACTGAGGCGCTATACAAATCTTAATGGGCATAATCATAAAAATGTACATAAACTGTCGCGTAATTCACATTTCAAATGGTTTTTCTATTGCTCTCCAATAACTGAGACTGCAGTTCCTGTTGTGGTCCAGCTGTGCGGTAATCTTCAGACAACTCGGGCCACTTATCAAATTTCACACTCGATTTCTAGTGGAACGCGTCGAAGACTTTTCCTCGATTTTCTTCTTTTTGATTGGATGCACCGCAAATCGCGCAACAAATCTGTGTGACAGTCAAATTTGTTGAGAATATATATGTATATATATGAATAAATGTCTATGTATGTGTATAATTATATTTAATTTATGGGCTCATAACAATTAGGTCGAAGTCAAGTGGTGGTAGCTGCGGTTGGTTTGGTGAGTGGGAACGAAGGAATATTTTGACTAGATAATTTTCTATTTTCTTTGTTTTTTTTGTTGAAATAGTTGAATAGAGTTGAGCCACCCTCAAGCGTACAAGCAACAGAACTGAACTCGAACCTAAAGCCGAACCCTTGCCATGATCGTGATTATCTCAAACATAAATGCACATCCCTCTCGAGAGTTTCTCAGCAAGCACGTGACTTGTGTACACACACACACACACACACACACTCACTCTCACAAAATGGTCTAAAGAGACGTCGTAATTCAATTTACTGTTGTGGACCGCGGGCATGTTTAATTTCATATCCAACGTATTTAAGCTGAAACCAAACCAAACCAAAGCAAAACAAACCAAACCCAACCAAACCAAACCAAAGCAAAGCAATGGAGGCCAACACACAATGAACAGACGAGCCGAGTTCTGGTTTTGGGCTGTTGGGGTTTGTGGTCACGCTGGGCTGCGAGGGGGAGTGAGTGGGGAGTGAGGCGTGCGCGCAAAATGTTCAATTTAAAAATTTATGCAATTATGAGCCGCAAATATTATTATATAAACACAAGCACAAATACGGACAGGTAAAACGGCAACACACAGCATGAGCAGCCACAAAATGAGCAGCGAGTTAATAGTAACGAGTTAAGCGTATCGAGTATCGAGCTTACATTCGTCTCAGTTTATTCAATTAAAAATTAGGCTCACTGGTATTTTATTGAAATCCAATAAATATAAGATACTTTCTTCTCTCTGTACAATTAGACTCATTACTGGATTCATTACTCTATATGTAGGATATATTTTAATAAAATAATATATACTTTCCTTAATACATGATATTTTGATTATGTTCTATTATTCTTTTATATTTATTGTATGATATTTAAATAACATTCCATTGTTTAATTGTATAGCTTACTGTATTCTTTTTCTTTCATTATTTTTTTTTTCAAATTAAATATGATATATTTTCCACGTATCTGTTTCTAAAGTGCAATATTAATATTTTGAAATATTTAATGTAATATTTTATGTATCATGATGAATTTTTAGGTTTTTAGGTTGGGCTTGTGTCACTTAGTTATTTTTTTCAAAGTAAATCTGTGTGTAATCAACATTTAATTGTTATTACTGAAACAGGATTTGTAGGCACTTAGTATCCTTGTTGAACTCAAGTCTTTTGCAATCTATCACATGCAATATCTCCGCCCAGTACACACTACTATTATTATTATTATTGTTGTTGTTGTTGTTCTTCACATTTCTCATGTCCTGATTTCAGAACCTGTCTCTCTCCCACTCGCATTTGGCTACAGAAAAATCGCTTAAGCAGCTCTTGCCCGGTAACCGAGTATTTTATGTGTATGTATAAAGATTATATGGTCAAACACACACACACACACACACACACACACACACATATATATACACACACACGCACAACACTAAAGACACTAAGCACGACAAAAAGACATTAAACACGACAACGAAATAAAAGAGAGAAGGAAGAAAAAAATGAAACAAAACATTGAAATTCCTTATCAGCATTTCCGCTTTTCGTGACCAATGTCTCGGACTCTATGCGCACGTGCCTATGTGTGTGTGTGTGTGTGTGTGTGTGCTTGTGTGTGTGTGTGGGTGAAGGAGTATCAATTTCGCACACACGCCTTGGGTCCGTGTGGTCATGCAAAGGTTACAGAAATGGAAAAGCCCAAAGGAAAAAAGCCAACTTTCGGCCAAACATTGTGAGTGAGCCACCTGTCATTGGCTTTTCGGTGGTTTCAGTGGTGCCTGCCACAAAAGACACGCCACCAAACTGAAGTTGGCCAGTCAACTGGGCCAGTCGTTGGACATGCCTATCCTGGTTATCCTTCATTATTCATAAATATGCAAATCGACCTGCTCACACAGTGTGTAATAAATTCTGAAGTCTTTCGGCTTTCGGCTTTCAGCTTTTGGCTTTCAGCTTTTGGCTTTCAGTCGTTTGGCTTTTTGGCTTTCAGTCGTTTGGCTTTTGGCTTTCGGCGTTTTCAGCCTTCTCTGTAGTTCTATAGAATTTGTTTGGCTCCTGGACATGTTTAACACTCAATCTGTGTGGCAAACTGCGCGCTGGCAGAGCATATGCCACATTACCTCCGAAACAAATTAAATCGTTTCGCATTCGACTCGAACTGAGCAGGCAGCTCAAGCATAACCAGCAGCAATAGAAGTAGCAGCAGCAGTAGCAGTAGCAGCAGTAGCAGCAGAGGCAGAGCCAGCAGTGGAAGGAGCAGCAGGAGCAGAACTGCTGCAAGGACTACACATGCTGGATGCCTCGTTAAAAGGGGCGGGCGATGGTTGGCTCTGATGTGCGTGGCATGTGGTGGGCGTTGCCACAGCTTTGACTGACGCACACACACACAGACACACACACACACAGACACACACACACACACACACTCAATTGTGTGTAAGTAATCTAGAAAACCACACAACTCACACAGATATACGATTGCAGACTCTGTTCTGCTGTATCTGCAGATACATATATCTTGGGAAAAATATTTGTCTACCCTGTAGTCTTAAAATGTCCAAAAAGGGGTAGCATAATTTGAGCAAAGGTTTTTTAAAGAGACAGACAATATTTAATAGAGTACTTGGGAATTTTTATTGCTGATATATTTGATTTATACTTTCCATTTTTTTGATCAGAGTTTCATCTCTGGAATAATACGACTCTTGATCATCAGTTTGTTTGTAGCAACTGTATTCTGAGTTGCTGCTTCATTTATTTTGTTTTATATTTAAACTATATTTCATAGTGCAATGCAGGGTATCCATTAGACAAACTCTCTGGCTGGACAAGTCATATTTGCTATCGCACTCGGGCTTCTTCCCAGAACATCGGTTGATTGTCTGGCCAGAACGTTGTTTGATTTAAAACAACGTAAATCATAAATTTCTCAGGCAATTCCTTGCCATATACTCGCACCCCACTCCCCTTATATATATATACCATATATATGTATATATATATGGCATATAATGCGCAAAATCGCAGCCATAACACGAATTGAAAGAGGGGGCGCCTGGAAGTTGTCCTTATGCTTGGGCAGCATAAAATGAATTTCCCTCTTCCTTGTCTGGTAACTGTAAGGACTCCAACAAGACTGCTTGGCTGAGCAAACAAGCGTATTAAATTGAGCTACAATTTCGTAACAGGACATTGCAGCTGATCCCAACATTCTGCCGGAAGTTAAACTCCATGTAATTTAAATGATTCCACACACAAGAATGGAATAGCTGCAATTTCTGATTAGGAAAATTATATTATATATATTGGAAATGGTAAGTGTTAGTTTGATAACTTGGAATCAAATACACCTTGCTTCAAATACACTTCCTTACTTATTTAAGTTGTGACATTTCTCCAAATTAGCCATTTGAAATATATGTCATTTAAATTCTATGCAGATAGGTTGATGTTTTTGCACATTCGACTATAAATATTCCGTTTGGCATAGTTAAGTATCCTGGGTTAATTTTATATGGTCGATCAGCAAATACAAACGAGAAGCTGGTTTCAAATTTTGTGGGATAAGACATGTTGTCAAAGGTTCTAAATCATTGTTTATTCATAAAATGTGAAGAAGTCTATTGCGAGCCAATAATTTACATGTGCACTCGATCAACATCAAAAGTCGAGTCAATAGCATAACGTCAGCATAAATCTGCAAGGATATCTCGAACCTAACAAAAAATACAAACACGACAATATGCCCATTGGAGAATATTTGTTCATCACATTGGACTCGGTCTGGAGACTCTCAGTAGTATAAAGTGCTCCATCTCCAAAGCGCACATATTTCCAAGCTCCAAAAGTCGGTTGGTTATTTTGGAATCCCGGAATTGCACCAGCAGCATCATCAGCTCCAACATCCCAAGGGTCAGACCAGAAATTCAGAGTTTTTGTCGTAAAACGTGGATGCGCCAATTGTTGTTTCGACATGTCCTTCGGAGTTTCTGATTGTTTTTGAGCTGGAACCAGCAGCTTTTTAGTTGAAATCCACACAAATAATAGCTGCAACAGGGTTTGTTAACAAAACTGAAGGAGTTTTCACTTGGCACTTACGATAAGCATGGAAGCAATGGTCAAATAAAATAACAAATTTAGCCTAAACATATTACAAATAAAATTAATTTTGCTAAAAAATTTCTTTGAACTCAAACTAAAAACAATTTTAACTAAGCATCAAAATTTGCTTATTTTGACAAAGTCTGCTGTGTTCAAAATGTTGGCAGTAGATCATCCGAAGATGCTTGCTTTTAAAGCAAGATACAGACCACAAATATAGTCATTAGAGGAACATTCTCATTCATTTTTCAATTCTAGCTCAATTTCCTGGATTGCAAATGCATTGTAATTATTTATATGATAATTCAAGATAAGACTTTTATTGAATCAAGCACTACACAATTTGGACAGCCAGTATTAAGAACTAATGAATTGAAGATCTGTATCCCATTTGGTGCATTGGATACATGGGAATAATAGATTCCAGTCGCTGATTGCGCCTGATTGCGCATTCCTGATAATCCTTCCACGTTGTGTACAGTGTCGCATTGTGACACTCCTCGGACTTGCCAACATTAAAGATGTGTTGCCTGAGCTGGTGCCAGATGGGCCGACTTTTTATCGTATGATTGTAGATATTTCGTCTAAGCCATCTTTCCACTTTAGGCGTACCATATACCGTCGATTTATCATAGCAAACAGTCTCAAGCTCACCGCTGTTTCGACAAAATGGAAATATTATAAACAAAAATACAAAAAAAGATAAACTAAATTAGAATTATTACAAGTATAATCGATATATAAAAATATACGAACGTTGGATAATATTCTTTGGGTGCATTGGAGTCAACACCTATGCGATTGATGGTGTAAAAGCCTGTAAATCGGCCATCTTGAAAGATATTGCCATAGGTAGCACCCCACAAGTTGTAGACCAAATTGCCCATGTGATCCTTGATGAATTTGGGCCGCGAGGTAATGCGTGGACCAGATTGAGGTTGAGGATCAGGTTGAGGGTTAGGCAAAGGGTCACCATGAGTTTTTGGTTTAGCTTGAGGATTATTGTTGCCAACGCTGCCATCTTCTCTGCTTAAAGCATCAGCATCAAAAAGTTGTACAAACTTCGTTGTGAGCTGTGGTTGCACTTGGGACTCATTGTTTGGACTATTAACGATGTCCTTAGTCGGAAATAGACGCATGACAATTGGCGAGGCATATAAGTTCTGCAACTGCAAATGGATTTTAAACACACTCGAATGTGTTTGATCTTTGATTATTTTAAACTTACGCTTATCAGCCAAGCAATGAAGACAATGAGACACAAAACATTTGGCTGAAACATGTCACAAATAAAATGAATACACCAGAAATTTACACGTCTTATTATAAATTCAACATAAGAAACTAAAATTTATTTCCCATATTTCCCATAGTTCGTTGAATTTGTTGTCAGAGTCTGAGACATATAACAAAGACTAAAGATGACGACCTTAATAAAAAGCAAATACAAATATTATATCTAAGGTTATATTTAAGGAGTAGTCTATATATATTCATCATCATATTTTCTTTACAGATTATCACTAGTCATGGGATCTTGCTTGAAATACTTGCAGCGCTGGAGTTAATTAATTGCTGCAAGCTAATTAGCAATCAAAGAAAGTAAATTTTGCGCTACGATAGTTTGTCAAGAAGCTGGCCCAACCCAAAATCTGGAAGCCCATTCGAAAATGTCCTTGCTGGCCGTTGTTTAAGCATATTTTTTGTGCTCGCTTTACGAAGCAGAACTAATAAATTTGAACTGAGCCAATTTCACAGGCAATGCCCAAAGTACCAACTGGAGAGCAGCTATCATTGAATGGCTAGAAAGTGAACTGGTTGGGGTGACTGTAGTACTCTGAGTGGGTGGTGCAGCAGCAGCAGCAGGAGCAGCAGTAGCAGTAGCCACTTCAAGCAGCCCCCGAATGCGACTAAAATGCGTGCAAATTCGCTCGTTCCGCTGATGTGCATGTAATACAATTAAATTATAAGCATTATGAAATACTTTATTACACATACAATTTCAGTTTTAATTTAAATACCCTGCACAAGAACAACTAAACTCTATTGGCATGCTAGTTCTACAGAATAATGTGTGTAGATTCCATAATGATAATAAAATATATGAAATAAATAAAATAAGTTCAAGCATCAGTTACTTTACAAGTTAGTAAATAATTAATCTACTAGTATTCTTAAATATATTTACAGGGTATTTTGTACGAGCTTGCTGCTGCTGCTGCTGCAGCTGTTGTTGTTGTTGATGTCAAGCTATGAGCATTGCGGCTTGAAATGGCTAAATGGCAGTTTATGCTCGTTTGACATTTTGTGGCAACGCTGACTCCGTTTACTCATTTCCCAGCCCCTTCGGCACCACCCACCTGCCCAGGCATCGAGTGGCATACTCGAGCATGTCTTTACATCTCTTTACGCTTGGCTATAGCTCAAAGTGCTCAGCGGGCTGCCACCTAGGGAAGAGGGATGGGAGGAGAGAGGAGACGGCGCAGGTAGGTAAAGCTCTGGCTACAAAATGGCAGTCGCCCGCATAAAGTCAACAGCTGACTGGCAAATAACGAGTTTAGAATGCAACAAGAATACATATTATAATAAATCAACATATATTCTACACATGTTCATCTTCTGTTTAAAGATAAAATACTCTGGCATTTAATGGTTTATGCTGGAGTCTGCAGTCGATAGTGCAACATTTTCAGAAGAAGAGAAAGAAGGTCTGGACATAGTCAGATAGCGAACCCACATTGTATGATCTCGAGTGTCTGTTTGTTTGTATTTTTAGACATTTATCTGCCGGGCACAACAGTAAAAACAACATCAGCATCCACAACAGCAACAACAGCAGCAACATCAACAAAAACATCAGCCGCAACATCAGCATCCACAGCAACAATATCAACAACAACATCAGCATCAACAACAACGATTTAACATCTTAACTTAGTTCTGTCTGGTCAGCAAAATTTGAGTTGCTCACTTAGCCTTGCTGCTGCCTCCTTCCACACTCCCACTTTCTTGTTATTCTGTATACCCTTTACTCATGCACTTGGAGGGCTGTAATATAGCATAGTGTTTAAGTGCAGATTTTACTAAAATAAATTGCAGAAAACAGAAAATATTGTTTTGTATTTTAAATAACATTCCTTTCTCTAAATTCATCACACAAAATTGTTGTTAAAAGTCAAATTTTTGTATATGTTTAAGGTTCAAGTCTATGTTACAGGGTATGCGCTAGTTGGTCACACTCAGACACACACAACTCAACTGACTGTTACATGTTAAAGATCTGTATCTGTTTTGTGCTGTTTGCCCCGAAGATTGTCTGAAAATCGATCTGTATGGTGTGGCAAGCGCCAAAATGCGAAAAAGTCACGTAGTCAGCAGACGGAACAGACAATAAAGAGCCTACTATAACCATACATATATAGGAGCCATATAGACAACGATAATGAGTACACACAGCGATTTATGCAAATCAAGTGAGATCCAAAAAAGCCTGAACTGAAATGAACCCATAAACTGAAACAGTCTGTTTTTTTTTGTTTTTAATATTTATTTTGTGGTGACTTTGGGGGGGTGTTCACTGTGGTTGCTGCTGAAGTCAAGTGAAGTAGTGGATGTAATCCCAGTGAGCAATTAAAGTGTCACAAGTTCGGGACATGCAATATTTCATGACGCAATGGCCAAGATTATGAATATAAATGCAAATTAGGCACAGTTTCAGGTGAAATTCGGAAGGGGTTGGGTAGTTTTGGCTGCCTGTCTATTGGGGTCTCGATGGGGTTTGGGATAGTGGAGAGTAAAGAGTGGCAACTGGCAAGTGGCAAGTGGGGTGGTGTGGAGTGGGAGCGTGACAATCATTAAAAGTCAAGTCAACTTTAGTGTGCCCTGAACAATCACTGAAAATGACTAACGGTAACCACGATAGTCCACATCCGGCACTACAGTGTACCCCCACTAGGGTGTGCAGGTGGTTGAGTGCTGGTTGTTCAGGCAGTGCTGGTAGTGCTTCTCCTTGCAAAGCTTTTAACCTGCAGCGCTGAAAGAAAATTACGCTCTTATCTTGCTTCCTGTCGTGACACAATTTTCTATCATAGCCAAGGACTTGAAGGACTTCGCTGGACATTGCCGTTGTGTGTGTGTATGTGTGTGTGTTGTGGCGCAAAAGACATAAAGTTATTATTGCCTTTTCTTTCGATTTTGCTTATTTCGTCGGGTTGGGGGTCCATGATAAATGTGTCCAGCGCACGTTTTGGCCAACGTCATAATTTAGTCAACATTACATCATATACTTGTATATAGTCTATCCTTCAGTATAGTATATATACATATATACTATATACAAACTATTTGGCCTAGAAAACTTGGAAAATCTTTGCATAATTAGATAGACCCGTCACATGCAAGCTCAGCGCGATTTTTATAGATTAACCAGAAGGGTTTGTGGGTTGCGGTCTGTGGTGGTTATGATAATTCTATGAATTTCATAAATACTAATTCGTTATTAAGTGAATATACTCGAACCATCCAACTCGAAACTCCTCGAAACACCAACGCCTCAAGCTGTTGCAGTTGCCGCAGTAATGAGCAGAGGCAAAAATATATCGAACTCAAAATCGACTGTACGTGACAAATTGAAAAAAGCGCATCAGTGAAGCGAAGTTAACTAGTGAGACCTGTGTGGAATCAAGCATAGAATATTGGACGACTTCGTACGACGACAGTTTTGTTTTTTTTCTTCTTTTTTTTCTTTTCTTCCACATATTGCTTGTTGTTGTTGATGACTTCCTACGAGAGCAGCCAACCCACAAACAACAACAGCAACAACAAAAGTGAAAAAGGCTACTGCAAATTCACTGCTCTCTGTTTTTACGATCGTTCGTAAATAAAAAATAAATAAAAAAAAAGTGAACGTCCCATTGTCGCAGTCAGCCCCCAAGCTCCCCAGTTGTGTCAAAGTTTTGAGATTGCAGCAGCTCTCGGTGTTGAAAGTAATACTATCTAGACACGTGAAATGAGTTGTTATCGCAACGTGCAAAACTGCACAGTTGCACAGTGCCACAAAGCACTGAAATTGTTATGCCACAACAAGGTCTCGCCTCTATTTGTAATAAACATTAATTGCCTGGCAAATAGGTCAAAGAAATATTTATAATACATATTTATAATATATATATATATATATATGTATATCTAATAGTTAATAGATTGAGCAAACCTCTCTAAAATGTATGAAATAATAATAATAATTTTAAAGACTTTCTGGCATTTTGAGAAAGTACATTAAATAAATCTGAAATGAAATAAATTCTTTGTATTAGTTAGAAACGCAGTCAACAAAAGCCACATTATTCAGATTGAATTTTATGCCCGATCACTATGATATATACATATATATATAATTTATATAATATATATATTTTGCATATATTAACATTGAATATGTGCAGCCAGCATTAGTTTTGACCACTGTGCGCTGCCAAGATGCTGTTGCTGGCTGCAAGTGGAGGTATTCGACTAGATGATACCCTGCACAAATCTCAATAGCTATGCAAATTCTGTTACAGTTATGCATTAAGTATGCTTATGTTATTTGAGTAGTGAATTTGTATTTTTTTCGGGGAATAATTTCGTATTTTTTACGGGAAATTAATAAGTAGCTGCAAGAAAGTTCTAATTCTGGAATAATGTGTTTTATTTTTAGTAAAAATCACTTTACTTTTTTAAGTGTTTCAGTCGATTGAACTAAACTGAATTTGACCCCTTAGAGCGCCATTTCAGTTTACAGGGTATTCAAACTGATTACCGTGACGCAGATCAGAAATATTCACTGACTGTTTGTTGTTTGACTTTAACTGTAAGTGTTACTGTTGCTTACTGCCTGTTTTTGCTGCTGCTGTTGTTGTTGTTGTTTTGCCATTTAAGCACAAGTATTTTCCTTTTTCTTCTTCTCCTCCTTTTAGCACGCTCTCTGACCACGAGAAATGATTTCTGGTTGCTATTGTCACCCCGACAATCCCAATTACCGTACACACACACACACACACACCTACACACACACACATATACACACATGAACGCACAGATGATGTGGTTGGCCCCCAGTTGTGCCCCCACTACTTGCAACCACTGGCTCTTATGGCTCATAACTTTTCAGTTAATGAAGACATAAAACTCAGCGGCAGCTGCGGCAATAAAGCTGCAAAGCAGCAGCAGCAGCAGCAGAGCAGAAGAAGAAGCCGAAGAGCTTTTGTTGGCCCTTTTGCATTTGTTGTTTGTTTGTTTGGTTGTTTGGTTGTTTGCTTTTGGTAGTCATACAAGTTAGTTGCAAAGATTCGCGTATCTGGCTATATGCCAAATACATACCTATATATATGTATATATATACATATATATGTACATATACTTCTGTGTATCTGCTGAATGATAAAACGTGCCCGGGGAAACCGAAAAGAGACGTCTATATAAACATACATATATATAAATATATATATATATACAAATGTATAAATATATATATTGTGTGTACACAGAGAAACGCCATTTTGAAGTCGCTGTCTCTGCCACTGCAGACTGCGCTGCTGGCGCGTCTGTTGCTATCAGCGCACATCAATGGACCAACGACAGTGGCGACATTTTGGAGCACATTACGCTGGTCAAAGTGCGAGCGAGCGGGATGGCACCATAGTGAAGAGATAAGAGAGCGAGCGCGCGCTTGCAAAATGAGCAGCAGAGCAGCAGAGGCAGAGCAGCAGTGGCAGAGACAGTAGGAGCGACAGTAGCAGCAGCAGCAGCAGCAGCAGCAGCAGCAGCAGCGCTTCAGCATTTTGCGGCGACATACACAGAGATAGAGAGATATGATAACAGATGCCACGCCTACAATATTTTAAGGTGCCGTCGGTAAAAAGAAAAAAGTTGCGGCTAACCTAACCTCAATCAAGGACTCTAGTTGCGGCCGGCCGCAGGCATTGTCCTTGGCGCCGCTGTGGCATTGCAACAGTTTGGCGTCGTCGTCGTTTGGCCTCTTAACACACTTCATTAATCAACAATAACAACAGCAAAAAGAACAACAGCAAAGAGCAAAAGCAACAAATAAAAAAGCAACAAAAAAATTGCCTGCAATTCGCCGCACACAACGTGGCGAATTCAACGCAACAATGCTCTCTCGCTCTGTCTCTCTCAAACTGTGTGTGAACAAAGCTCCACCTACCGAGGCAAAGCGCAGACGCACACAAAGCACAAAGCCAGCATAATGCATAAGAGAGAGAGCGAATGCGAGAGCGAGAGAGAAATAGAGAGAGAGAGCAGTGGAGCTGCGGCTGCCAACTGCGCTGCCCAGTCGACGGCGATGACGATGACAAACGAATGACAGACACTCTCGTCGCTCGTCGTTGCTGTTGGGGAGAGAGATAATGGGCAAGAGATAAGAGAGACGTCAGGCAGCGCACACACAACCAGCGATGGCGATGTCAGCAGCAGCAGCAACAACAATAACAACAACAATGAACGAAGAACCATCCGAATGCCCGCCAGTCAGAAACGTTCGTTTTTCGTTTTATGCGCGCGTGTGTGTGTGTGAGTCTGAGTGTGAGTGGGCAATAAGCGTGCGTGTGGCTGTGTGTCTCCGTGTGTGTCTGTGTGAGTTCGCTTGTATGTGTGTGCGCTGGGCAAATATTTGCGGCGTTAGCCAACAAAAAAAGTGTGTGTGTGCGGGGGTGCTGCTGCAATTTACAATTACCTCATACTGCAAACTGCATCTCTTGCCTTATATGCACACACACACACACACACACATATACATTTATTTATATAGAAATATTTATATATATTATGTACGACTATTGCTGATAATTAAATGTACGCTAAATTATTTAATTTCACCAATGCAAGGCAGATTCCCCGCACAACTCTTATCCAACCCACGTCCACCATTTGAGCTGCCTACAAAATTAATGAGAACTTTCTTAAGGTTCTGCAAGAGGCCTTCACATTCTGCCTCCGTTTAATGTGTGTGTGTGTGTGTGTGTATTTATGAGTGTCTATGTGTGTGTGTGTGTGTGTTTTTAGCTCTTAATTAAGGCAACACATTTTGAGGTCAATACGTTGCGGCAGTGCTAAAGATGCGACTGGCCACCCAATTTTCAATGGAAACTTTAAGTTAAGTTAAGCATTTGGTCAAATATAAAAGTTGCTATTTGTTTTTTATAATAATAATAAATAATTAATAGATAAATAAGTTTTGTTATAATTTTTAAAGCATTTTAAAGCTTTAAATCAAACAATTTTAGTTTTCTAAACAGTTTTCCCATGTGTGATTCATTGAAATTATATCATTTGCCTACGACATGCTTTAAATGATATATATATATATATATATATATGATAGACTCGCTGTAAATAATATAACTGTTCCTTTTGTTATTATGCATGAGTTTAAATAAAAGTTTTTACTCTGCCTTTAATATTTCTAGTGTTATAATTTACCACACTTAGTTTATCATTGAATTGAACAAATGGCAGTTTTCCAAGAATTTTTCCATTTGTGTTTTCTGATTGCTTTCTTTCAAATGAGTTCATCAACAACTACAACACTTATATAGATGATAAATATAGACGTTAGACATTACTAGTACATTTCACCTTGAAATTGGCAACTCCCACGAGCAATGCATATGAATGAGTGTGTGTGTATGGATATAAGCAAGATCAAGTGCATTTATAATAAGAACAATGCATTTAACACCACTGTACATACTTATATTATATATATATATATATTTATATATATTTACATATGTATACACGTATATATTTTGTGGCCGATTTTCACGTACTTGTTGTATGGCGCCCAAAATGAACACACAAAACTTAGATAAACACTAATAAAAATTGTGAATATTGTTAATAGGGCGCAGCGCATTTTTGGATAGCGAATCGTTTACAGCAATTATACGTTCCATAAAGCTGCCAAAAACAAAAAACGAAAAACAAAAACCGAACAAGAATTATTTGCTAAATCTTTGCATATTTTACGACATGGCAAAACAAATGTTTTTCATTCGCTCGAGTTGCTTTTATTATGAGTTTTCTCGTAATATGAAAAAAATGCGAGCAATGCAAACTGCAATCGGAACGCAGACCGCAGCAGGCAGGTGATAGAAGGTGTGCCCCCCTCACTCCCCCCCAAATGCAGAAATACATATTTGTATTGATTGCTGGGGGTAAGGGGGCGGGAGGGGAGAGGGGATAGGGGAGCAGCAGTCTTATGACAAACGACTGACACGCGGCCTGCGCAGACGACAAATGCAACCGTGGAAAAGTTACTATAAAACCCACAACACTCCCCCCTCCTAACAATAATTCTACTGCTCTCCGAGCCCGCCGAGTGGCAACCACCACCCCCTGTCTGGCTGGCAGTTGAGTGCCCAACGGGTGGTGGTGGCTCTGCCTCTTGACCATTTGTCTGCCCATTGGCTAACCAGGCGAGTACGGTTCGAGTATGGTTCGAGTACGGCTCTTGAGTACGGCCGTCGAGGGCTGTTCATTAGTTGTGCAACCTTTGGCTGGGCTTCAATACTAAATGCCATAGGCATATATGTTGGCAGTTAGATGGCATAGATAGCAAGGTTAAGTGAGCAGTCGTTAAATCATAAAACGAATCATAAAACTTTAACAGGGGTTCCATTTTGAGATCTATGAAAGGGTTCAGCGGTTCGCAAATGTGTCAGAGTCACAACTAGTTCTTGGCTTGGCATGATGAAACTTGGAATACATTTTCTTAAGCTACTTTAGTTTACATTTATATCAGTTACCCAACTATATTTCTATAGACTTCTGCTAGTTTCACAAATTGCTTGGTAAAAACTTTCAAACAAGTTCGCAAAATAAATATTTGAGTTCGACTTGAAAAGGTTGTAGAGATCTAAGTGGGATTTATACTGATACAAATTTAAATATAAATAAAGAAGAATAACTTGATTTGTTTCCAATTCCACTATCAGTCGAAAATATTTTGATTTTCATATTTTTTTTTCTTCCAGAAATGATTCTAAGAGCTCAAATCTCTAATTTTTGTCGGAAAACAGTTGGCATTTTATAATAATATAATATTTAAATTGGATTGTTAAACCTTAAAATTAATCTTTAATAAAGCAAATACCTTTTAATTTGTTTGTAATCGTATCTGTATAAAAAATAAAGGGATAAGATATAGTAAAGTAGTCTAAGGCTCTCTCTAGGAATTCCGATTAACAATTCGCGCCAGGCACCAGTTCGCTGGCTTTCGCCCCACTCTGCTCGTACCGCTGTACCCCTAACTCTCTCTCTCTCTCTTTCTTCCTCTCACTCTCTCTCTGTTTGTGGTAGTGGCCAGTGGACCTTATGAGTACGGGTAGTGTAGTGTAGTGTAGAGTGGCGCTGTGTCTTTCGCTGTGACTTTGTGCGTGACTTCATTTGCATGAATTACGTCGCATTTTTTTTGTCGTGCTCCAAGAACCTTAAGAACTCTATCCCTGACTTACTCGCTCTGCTCCTCCCCCTTTCCCCCCACAACCGGTTGACCCCGTGCTGGTCGTTAGTGTCCTTTTGGCTGGAGCTAGGCAACACCTACGACGTGGCACGTCAAGGCACACGTGCCTTGAGCTTGCCACCTATAACCTAAAACTGTGGTTGCTGCTGCTGCTTGGGTCTCTTGGACAGGACTCTGCCGCCTGCCATAATTGCCACCGCCGAGTAGTCAGTCGCAGTTTGTAAGCGCCGCCTGCTGCTGCAGCTGCTGTTGCTGCCTCACTACAAAAATAAAAATATAAAATACAGTTTTAAATAAAAAACAGAAAAAACAAAATATATGTAAAAAAAAATAGAAAAAATAAAGAACTATTGCTAAGAGCATAGACGAAATACTCGCAGTAGTCTCGTTCGTCGTCGGCGTCGTTGTTTCTGTTTGTTGCCGCTGCTGTTGCCGTCATCGACATCGTCGTCGTCGTCGTTGCCGCCGTCGTTGCCGCCGTCGTCGCCGTCGTCGTTGCCCTCAGCGTCAGTCGCGTCTGAGGAGCTTCAATGGGCAGGTGTGTGTTTGCCACACAGTCGGAGTCGCGTCAAAGTTGTTGTTATTGTTATTGTTGCTGTTGTTGTTGTTCTTGTTTGCGTTTTTTTTTGCGCTGTGTGCCTTAACTTAAACTTTCAACTTTTTTGATGCAACAACTTTACAACACACTTTTTTGCCGTCGGTATTTTCGTTCTTGTTGTTGTTGTTGTTGTTTGTCGTTGTCGATATATATTTTTGCCAATCGCTCAGCCAACCCAGCAGCGTCTTCACCCCCCTTCCCATCCCTTCACCAACCCCCGCACCTTGCGACGCGTGTGTGGAAAAACATTGCCACGATTTTAAAGACGACCCACAGCTTGAGGGGTGCTTGAGTTTGACACCCATCCCTCCATCCCTCCATCCCCCTGGCCTGTGGCTCATATGCAAATTTTAAATTGTGTCGCTTCAGTCGGTTCGTTGTGCTTCTCTTGATTTAACTTGTGATTTCTAATTGTGCACACACACACACACATATATATATATATATATTTTTATATATATATATATATAAACAGAGAGAGTCTCTGCTGCATTTTAGTGTATGTCAATGTCAATGGCCTGAACTCTTGAACTCTGCTGGTATTGCGGATTAGCTGAAAGTCCTGTGTGTCTGTCATGTGGATATATATGTTATAAGGAGAGCTCAGCATTAATGACGTCACTGCTGGAGATTATAATGCGATCCAAAGCGATTGCGAGAAAATTCAGTCAAGGTAAGATACATAAATCCATCTAATTCTAAATTTAAGGAAATGTGAAAACAAAACTTATTAAATATATTCTTATATTATATATGATTCAAAGAAGTGGTTTGAGTTTTTTTTAATAACTTTTTATCTTATATATATATGAAATATCTGAAGAATTTGCTTGTTTTAAGTTAAGATGGAGAATAAATTTAGAGGACAATGGAAGTTTAAAGTCTTCAAAAATGGTTGCGATAGTATTTTCGTCTTAATAATATAAAGATATATGCATCTATGTGTGTATGTTTATCTTGCATAAGAAAGTCCAACATTTGTATAATGTTTATATTAGATTGCATGTTCTTTCTTGAGAAGGAATCCTACAAATTCCTTTAGAGTGAGCATTATTTATTTCAGCTTATAATTAGATAAGACCTGTCGGGATCATTCTAATCTGGACGAATAACATCTGTTTTGTGCAATACTTTTTCCCTTTATTCTCATTTTATTGTTGTTGGTTTTCCGTTACTTATTTATTTGTGTGCTGTTTTTGTTCTGTTTTTTTTTTTTGGCGTTTGAGTTTTAAATTTAAATGCTGTCGTTTTCAGATAACAAATACGGCAACCAAGAAGCACATGTGAATTCTCAAAGTTTTGTTCTATTTTAAGCATCCAAAACTGTCGTGAAGCCAGCGCACAAGCCCAGTTTATCAGTCAAAACTTCCGAAAGCCATTTAGCAATTCTTATAAAAAACACACATCCAACTATATTCATGAAACGGAATGATAATGCTCCGTTCTGTTCTGCTCCGTTCTGTTCTGTTCTGTTCTGTTCTGTTCTCCTCTGTTCTGTTGTCGCTTTGGTCACGAATACGGATTGCAATTGTCTGTAATCAACTGACATTGAAAATGTTGGCCAGCGATAACTTGCGCTGAGAAGTTGCGAAACAAGCTTATTTTAATACATGTTATTTAATGAGAACTAGAAAATAACATGAATAAAATAGGGCCGACTATCTTTCCATGATGTCATATTAGCTTACATGAACTTATTGCTCTATGTGGCATGAAGATTTCCGGGCCACAAATTGACCCATATAGAATCGCACAGTATGCCTGATATTGAGAGCGATTAGCCCGCTTCCTTCAGACTTATAGTCGGTTGTTGAAGCGATTCAAAGAATTTCTCAATCGCATTCTGACTAATCATTTTTTTTTTTTAATGTATGCTGATTTTTCCTTTAGGGGGATTGCGCGTCAGATATATTTGCATTCGTGGAAGAGGCCAGATGTGGGCCTATAACACACGCACGTCTCTCTCTCGCCCTCTGTATATGTGTGTGTGTGTGTATAATCAATATATACATAGATCGTGTGGTGAGCAACAATTGCCGATTCTGGCTCATCTGCGGCTATTTCATTTGACAAGTGTTACACTTAGCCAAACAATGATTTTAAACGTTTACAAAAGTCCAACAAGTCAATTATGAATTTGGCATATAGTAAATATTATTTGTAATTTTCAAGTAAATATTAATTATTTTAAAGTATCCACAAAAGTCATGTTTAATCTACAGATTGCCCACAACGGATTTAAAGTCAACCTTTGACTCAGTTCCATCCTTGAACACCATAAAAAAGCGCACATAAAATTCGGCGCGTGTATGAAAATAAAAAATAACAACAAAGTCGCCATGGACAAATAACCATAAGAACAATTGCAACAACTCAAAAATTTCGATCGTCAAATAAAAAAAAAATGTGAACGAAAGTTGGGCATCGGCGTATCAGCGTTTTTTTTATTACCTGTGAATCGATTGTATTAAGAGCTATTAAAATATTTTCTAAGCCTGCTATCATATCATTCAATTAGGCAAGAAATGGCTATATATAGGATCATAAAACATAATATTTTGTGGCTGATAATGTGAAGACCTATTCAATATGCGTTCCCGCTGTTGTTCTTGTTGTTTCCCAACGCACATTAGAGCCCCCAATAAATATATCAAAATAAAAATGTCGCCTTCATAATATTTATAGCTCGAGTGCAGATAATGGAAGACGCCAAGAACCAGATAGACTACAGTTGGAGTAAATATATATATATACACACAAATATATATATATATATTCTATATGTATATTCGCAGTAGACAATTGAATTCAGTCTCAGGGTTCTAACCACCTTTCATGTACTTTTTTTTTTGGCACACAGATAAACGCCAGATAAGCTACGGATCAAGATTAGGTGGTTTTTGGGTAGTTGCTTTATCAGTTGTATGGCTGGATGCTCCATAAACTTGATTAGATCTTTGGCTTTCTTCTAGTTGGTGTGTTGCGCTCCCTTGAATTTATGAAGGCATATTGCTACTTGATTGTTATTAGTTCTGTTCAACTGGGTTAGGCAATTCAAGTACGAAAGTGCAAAGACTATTTAAGGCGATGGTGTCGTCTCAGTTTTATTGGATTGTTGCTTCATCGGGAGGAATATCATCGGTCGCGGTGCAGCACCTGATATATTTATGAATTTACAATGCCCCAAAATTATTCTCCCAATTTCGACAATTTATTACCGAGAGTACTTTGAACGTTTATTTGCCTCGAATCGACACTCAAGAAAAAGACGGCACTGTCCCCCAAAACTGTTTGTGTTTTCCTCTGAGTGTGCGAGTGTGTGTGTGTGTTGCAGATAAAACAACGAAAATGTTGTCTAGATAGAAGAAGAGATAGCCACGAGCAGACCCTGCGTATGAGCTATATACCTCTATGTTATATGATGGCCAATAAAGTTAAGCACCCTCTAAACTCGGTCATAATCGATCGACTCGCAGGCAATATACTCAAACACTCACTTCTCCCATTCAAAATCATTCGGTCAGTCAGTCTGAGTTCGCAATTGTGAGCTGGTGAATTTTCCATTTCAATCTACTTGCAACGGGGCATTCCAGGGGGTGTTTATCTATCGACCTACTCAACGCGTTCTGTGTGCAACTTGTTTACATTAAGCGTTACGTCAAGGCACCACAAGATCCGACCTCTATGTTCTACATACACTTAGAAAAAAAAACTATAAAAAACTCTATAAATCAAATAGAAAAGTTGTCGAACTTGACGAGAGTGAAAATCATATTTTTTTTTCCTGTATTCCCTGTTAAGGAATAAGTAAAGTTTTTAAACATCCTCAGATAGTACTAACTGATTCGAGTAAGATATTTTATTCCTATTATTATTTTCGATTTTAAAATGAAACCAGATCAGTTTGAATTAAAATCATATATTACTTGAAGGGATGCACTTTTTTTTCTGGAAGTGTATATGTATATCGTTTAAATGTAAGTCGCTTTTGTGAGATAATTGCGTTGACAAGATCGAGTGTTTACTTTGATTCCAACTTTCCTGGAACTGATTGTGTACTCGATTCTCCTACTCCTTTTCCACAAATAAAAATATTTATATATATAGATATTCTGCTCTAGACTACTCTCGGATTATATGTTGTATACGAACGGGCTTTGCTTTATCGACACGACTGTCACTCTCTTGTCATTGGACCATTGTTTATGAGTGTGGGACTTTTTCCTACATATATCTATATACATTTATTTACAGTGCCCCATTACATGACAGATAGTTGTGATATGCGGGCAAATTGATATATGAAACGAAAACAATCTTTATGAAAATGGGGCATTTAAAGATTTAAAGCTTATTAACACTAGTCTTTGTAAATGATTAATTTATGCGTCGCATGGGGAAAGTTCTATATCATTTCAAAAATATACATTTAGCTTAAACTCTATGTGATGGCAAGTTGTAAAGATAGCGTTTCCATTTAAAGACTAATTATAATTGTGACAATTTATAATCAAGACTCAATTGGCATAAAAACTGCGTACAATTGTATTTTATTGGCACTTTTTAATGTTTTTTTTTGGGAAATTCCTTGAAATATTGCATAGATAGATTCGGTTGGGTTTAAAAAAAAGTTGGTTGTTCATTGGTCAACTATCAACCGTCTACATTCAAAGAATTGTGTGATTTAACAGCGAATTCCTTGTTCTGATATGTAAGCCAGCCACTTGGCATTTTATAGTTGTCAATTACAAAGTATCTAATAATCATTTAATCAGTAAATATGACCATTGCAGGGTATTATCCCCAGCCTAGCAACCAATTTGGGGTATACTCGTATTCTGCTCGCCTCAGAAGAACTGCAAACGAATTTATAGTTTTAGATTTAAAAGATCTGAAAACGAATTTATAGTTTTAGATTTAAAAGAACTGAAAACGAATTTATAGTTTAAGTTTAATTTGAGCACTTCTTAAAGATATAAATGAGAAAAAGACGTTGCAAATAAGGAATTAAAATAGTCACTTATTTAACTTAGAAGCTGTTATAAAAGTTTGAAAAACATTTATTGCCTTTTATCAACAGAGATTTGTTGAAAAACCAACATGTTATTATTCATTGAGTACTTACAGGATATGTAAGAGTCTGTCAATGCCACGTTCCTTGGCTATAATCGTTAATGTGTTTATTTTCATATTAGAAAATAGATAGTATGTAATCGCCTTTAAGGCAACACCAACAAAAACAACCACAACAAAGTGCATAGTACACTTTTTGTTATACGGAGAAGCGATCACAGCGCAACAGAGCGAGCGACAGAGAGAGAGAGAGAGAGAGTCAGACTGAGCAACAGAGAGAGAGAGAGAGAGTGAGAGGGGGAGGGGTAGCAGAGTGGGAGGGAGAGAGACTGACACATGGACAAACAAACAAGTGCTCGTGTTTTATGAGTTTTAGGCTATAGGCGACGACGACGTGACTTTAACCGATGGACGACGTGCTTCCAGCTTTTCATATTCTTGTTGCTTTTGTTGTTGTTGCTGCCGCCGCCGCAGCTGCTGCTGGTGCTGCTCCCAATTGTGAAACGCTGTCGTCGGTGTCGACGTCGACGTCGCACCGTCGCTGAGCAGCGCAGCTTCGAGGCTTTTTTTGTTGTTGATATCATAGCACTTCAGTTGGGC